AAAACATGGATCAAGCAGCTGACATGCTGGCATTTCTTAAGTTAAATGTTTGTTTTTCAGTTTGAGATAACTCTCCATGCACCTGATTTTTTTTATGCCAATGGAAAGGGCAACCTTTTACAGTATAAGATGAAATATTTTTAATGGACCTCATTTGAAAACATGGAATTGCTAATGAATGTTTTAGAACATTTTTTTTTTATTATTTATACTGGTTGGAAAGAGGGGAAAGTTTTAAAAGTCTCCTGAAGGAAAACAGTAACTTTCTTGGTTTAAAAAAAAAGAAAAGGCAAGACTACAGGAGTTCAGTGAAAATCTGACAAGGGCTCTGGGCAGACCACTTGCTTTTCCTGGGCCTCAGCTGTGAAGCAAGGAGCAATTTCTGGTTTATTTAGGCTTCTGGGAGCAGAAGTTGCCCTCTATCATATTCTGATCTGCAATTCGCACCAGAGGAAGGCTGGGCTGTTCCCATGAGCAGTTGGGAAAGACTCAAAAATGCCAAGAAGCCAAGGGTCAGACCCAGGGATGCTCAGCCTGTAGCACAGGGCTGTGTCCAAGGCACTTCACCTCGGTGATCAAACTTTGCTACAATACTCAGTCTGTCTCATAATATTTGTGCTATTGCCAGCCACCTGAAATCCTGGATATTACTCCCCTCAGAGCTGTAAGTTAAGCATCTCAAAAATGTGGTCCTTCACGTGTACAAAGGGATCCATTAATTGCATCCTCATTAAGAGTCTGAGATTGGAACTTCACAAAAACATATCTGCAGCATTTCCTTTCTCCTCTCAGCAAGGAGTTTCCTTTCAGGATTTCTTTTTACAGTCAGCTTTGTGACTGCAGAGTGTCCTTATGGTCACTGTAAGGTCTGAGCATCTTCCCAGTGCTGCCAGCAGAAAGCAGCTCTTGGCATGAGGATGTTTTGCTAGAGGAGTTGTCCTTCAGGCAGAATATTAAACTGCTCTGCCATCTGTTTTACAGGGATTATTCTGGTGAATGCTAAAGATCCCTTGAAAGCATTTTTAGAGTGTCCCTGTACTGGTCCTTATCCTTAGCTTTCATATAACCTCTCCCTTCAGCTGTTGACTTTGAGAGCTTCCCTTTTCTAAGCATGCAAAGGCAAAGAGAAGGATCTTGATTTCAGCTCCTCTCCTTGTCTCTCCCCCACTGCATAGACACATACATACATACGTGCACCCACGGCTCCCTTCAGCTCTGGCTCCCACAAAGCAACAGCCCTACCCTCTTTACTCTTCCAGAAACTCTCTCATGCCCTGAGATTCAATATATTTCACAAGAAATCACACACACACACCACTGACTACCCTGCTCGCTAATTTGCTGTAATGTCTGCTCTGTGATAGAGCTCAGCTCTAACAAGCCCTGGAGTCCTCTACTCTCTTCATTTAGTGCCAGGTACAAGAAACTCACCCTTACCTACATCCCCTCCAAGCTCTGCTGCCCTTTCAGCCCACAGTTCATCACCTGGGCAGACTAGGCACCTCCCTTATATGCTCTTTCACAGGGGCAAACACAGATGTTAAGCTGCTCTTCGTAAAGGTCCCTTTTCCTACAGCAGATACCATTTCTATTGTGAGTGTATCCAAGACTTCAGGTTACTATTTTAAGTTGCAGAGCTCAAATGACTGAATTCCTGGTTAAGTATGCAACATCTGAGCTGACTACAGAGCTAAGGAGTGCAAGAAAACTGCAAGGTGAATAGAGTGTATTAAAGAGTTGCTCTTAAATAAATTAGAGTGTGCAAGACACAGGACTAAGTGAAGGATGCTTGCTGGCACCAGGATAACCAATGAGATAGACTGTTTGGTGTGGAAATAAGATTATGGTGAATATCAAGCAGAATATAGAGGAAAAGCTATAGTGCAAAAATTACTTAGAGGGGAAGAAAAAGCAAGGCAATGTACTGAGAAATAAGTACTGTGCTATGGAGAATTACAAGTGAAAAAAGGAACTGTATTCCCAGGTACTTCAGTTTGTTGTGTCCAAAGCTGAGCCTCTTTGGGGAGACTTTCCTGCCTCCCCGACAGACTCTGTCTGATGGAGCCTTACATTTGTCGTGTGTTTAAACCTCACTTGCACATCTCGGAAGGGTAGCTGTCAGTTTAAAAGGGCCCAAGGTTGTAATAGGCTCGATGTAATGTGTATATTTTTCTCAAGCTCTCATGCATCACTGAAGTGTAATTATAGCAACCCAAGCCTGCAATCTTTATGAGATGTCATGATTTAGCATCTAAATGCTAAATGGGGCTGTTAATATGAGTAAATGCTGCTCAGCTTGAGTGAAAGGGTGTTAAAGAATCAAGTCTAGAGTGAATCAGCCTGTGCATAGGTGATAAGGAAAGGAAGCAAGTCGTGTAAAGTATCGAAGTAAAGCATTCAAGAGTCCTAAGTTACAGCCTCCCTCTGGGTACTGCCTCTTCTCCTAGGGTGATCCCAGAAAATAGCCATCCTACACACTGAATGGGAACCCAGTGACTGTTATTTGCCACTATGTTTTCTCTGAATTACACCTTCCTCCAGACACAGGTGGCTGTCACTGGTCTATGGGACTTGTCAGCTCCTGCCATTAATATCCTAAGCTGCCCAAGATGTAAGTGATCTCAGATAGTAAATAAGAATCTCTGTGTATCAGTGAAAGAGCACAGATGCTTCAACCAGTCTTTTTGAAGTTTGTGATCTTCTTTGTTCCAGTTATTGCAGGAGGCAAAGAGCCCAGCTTCCAGCCTTAACAGCTTTTTAATAGAGAACAAAAAGATTCCCAGTGTTTGGTCTTCAAGAACTTGCTTTCACATTTTGAAAAAGTAGGTGTAAGGCTAGGGGTAAGGTCTATGGGGACCCAGAATCTGATCACTTCTGTTACTGGTCATTAGTATTATTATTATTTCATTTCCTAAAACGAGTTTTCAGTCCACTTTTGTAGCAACCAGAAAGGGACAAATACGGTGAGGTCACTGTGCTTCCTGCTCTGACATCTGAGGTGCTTTGAAAGAGAACCTGCCAACACATGATGTTTAAAAACTTCCAAAACAAGGTCTAATGTTCCTTAGCACATATTGTTCTTTTTCCTTTTTTTTTTTTAAAAAAAAAAAAAAAAAAGCTCTTTCCTCTTCTTGTCAAAAGAAAATGTGTCTCTGTGGAACTACATTTTTACTGCCTTGGAGAACATGATGTTCAGTCATGACACAAATCTTTGTGTAATCGAGAAAGTTACTTCAAGACTGGAAGGTTCTGAGACTCAGAAGTGCTCTTAGATTTTTTAACCATTAGAGGTGGCAGTCCAGCATTGAAACAAGAGCAGTAAAACCCAGTTAAGTGCTTCTGATGGCTGTCATATGGTTTAACTCCCCTGCACATTAACACCTCCACTGGGGATGCAAATGCTTCTCTTTACTGCTACCTGCGCTGTACTCTCCTGATCTTTCTAACCTGATCAAAATGCACTTGGGATTTTTAATATTTTTTTTTTAAACTTTATCGATTGCTCTTTTTCAGCCCTGGAAAAACGCCCTGCTGCTTTTTTAACTTCATGTAAAATGCATTGTGTGATTCAGCATAAAGAAAGGGAAGAGGAAACACGTTGAATACAGTGACGAACGGCAGAGGGGTCAGAGAAAAGGAAGATGCTCTGGCAGGGCCTGCAGAGGCCATGTTGTAATTATATGCCATAAATATATAGGTAGCTAAACAGAAATGCAGGGGAAGCTATTATGAAATTTTTTGGAGCAGCTCCCATGAACAGCACAGCAAGGCATGGCCGTGATTCCACGCGGAGAAGCCAAGCCTCTGCGCTTTCCATACACTGAACATTTGGGCATCACAGGATTTGCAGGAGGATGATGCCCTTCAGAGCATTTAGTGAGAGCGCTTCTACTGAATTTCTCCTCTGAAGCCGTTTTAGAAGCATGTGTTTTAAATCCATACTGTCTGCCAATTAAAATCCCCAAACACAGAGGTAACACTGTTATTTACAATGTGTGCATTTGTGCACACTTCTATAGGTTGACTGACTGTGTAGGTACCAACGCCTACATATGTACAGATGTGTGCCTGCCCATGTCCTCTTGTTGTTCATTTACACTTGATTTAGGCAAGCAGCTCAAAGCTTAAAGCAAAGTCCACGTTTTGTGTGTGCCTACGCTGTGCTGGCTCCTCAGGCGTGACTCGACTGGGTTTCCCACGTGAGTCTCCTTCCAAGCTCCTTGTCCACAGCTGTGTGCTGCCACAAATGCAGCACGCGGGAGAGCCAGCTGGCTGAAAACTGCTTCAAAAATAATGGAAATCAGGTGTCCAAAACGAGAATGTGTTTAGATGTGACTTGGCTTCCCTTGGTTTTCCCTGCAGAGAGCAGGGATTCCATATTAGCTTTGTTTTTTGCTCTCTGTGAAAATCCTCCTCCGATGACGGTTTGATATGGGAAGAACAGAGCTTGGTGTGACTTTCGGTGACTTTATTTTGGCAGACACTGCGTTTTAGCTGTACATCTGTCATACAGATGGAGAGACACTAGGGGAAAAAAGAAGCCGTTAAATGAAATTAAGTTTGGGATCTGGATGAAAAAGAGAACCAAGCTCATATTTTGTGTCATTGTGATGTTTGCCAGTTGTAGATACCAGGGATGAGTGTGCTCTGGGTAGAGGGACAGAAACATATTTCGCAACCTGAGAGCTCTGTTCCAGCAAGGCAGCCTGGTACTGTTCTGCTCCCTGTAGAAACCAGTACCACATGTGGGAGGCAGGACTCCTGGGAACGACAGAAACTAGGACCACGCATTACTTTACATTCTGCTTTAGGTTCCCACTTAACTTGGTAATTTTCAGTGCTCTTTTTTGTTCTGAGGCTTTGGGTTTCAACGATGCAAAATAATTCCTCATTCTGTTACCATTTTTTTTGCAATGGAAAAGCGCATATTCAAAATGTTGGGTGTTAAACTCAACACGTGCATGCTTGCTGTCTCATTGCTACTGTTTCCTCTTTCTCAGGACATGACCTTCAGCATCACAATGAATCCACAGGAAAAACCTGTCAAATCCTCCTAGCTCCCTGGCTGTGCAACTTGTTCTTCCCTTGCTGTTCACCAGACAGCAGCTCTTCCCACCCGAAGCTCAGAAGAAGCCAGCAAGTCACAAATGACAGCTGAAAACTGAAGCGTTATCAGAAACTGTGTGAGACTCTGTCAGAAAGAAACTTTATATAGTCATTCTTCTTCTGAGCCTGGGAAGCTGTGTATCCCATCAGTTCCAAAGAACAGAGTAGATATGTTCAAGTAACCAACACCAGAAATTGCAGAAATCAATACATCTACTAGAGTATCTACACACAGTGATCTATAGCATTTAGAAATCTCCATTCAGAATGGATGATGGATATAGAAACACAAACCTCTACCAAGGGGGCAGGGCAACAAACCAAGTCTCGGATGACTACAGGTACCAAGATGGTAACTATGAAGGGTATGCACCCAATGATGGCTACTACCGTGGTGGGGATGAGCCTGCTCATGAAGAAGATGCCCAGAGCGATGTTACAGAAGGCCATGATGAAGATGATGAGGTCTATGAGGGGGAGTACCAAGGGATCCCGCACCCAGATGACATTAAAGAAAAGCAGAAGAAGCGAGGTCCTGCTGTGGATGATGAGTACAGAGACCGTGCTGACCTTATGGCAGAGAGGATGGAGGACGAGGAGCAGCTTGCCCACCAGTACGAGAACATCATTGAGGAGTGTGGCCACGGACGCTTCCAGTGGACCCTCTTCTTTGTTTTAGGTTTGGCACTGATGGCAGATGGGGTGGAGGTGTTTGTGGTTGGATTTGTTCTTCCCAGTGCTGAGAAGGATATGTGCTTATCCAGTTCGAACAAAGGGATGCTAGGTAAGTGTCACTCGTGAACAGCTCTTCTAATGCAGTAGACAGTAGCTGGAACATCTTTTTCTAGTGACCAGCTGATTTTCAGGGTCTTCAGATGACTCTCCTTTTGTGTTGTATGTCATGCACAGTCATGGCTGGGTGGACAAGTCTCAAAAGGGGTTTGCATGGTGCTGAGAAGGCAGCTACTCAAAAGCAACAGAATTGCACCACATCTAGTCCCACGTTATGAACGTGCTGTGTCTCCAGTCCCGGTCACTGCAGGCTGGATCTGAACAAGGTAATTTGCAGTCAGCAGGTCCACAGGGCGAAACTCATAGGGATGCTCAGGGACAAAGAAGTGAAAGATTAAAGGTGGCTTCTCCTACTTGAGGACTTAGTGACTCAGATTTCAATCCTTTTGGAAACTAAATTGTAATGAGAAGTCCACAATGCAGTACCATCCAAATATGACAGCTCTAAAAGACAGGGGTCTATTTGCTCTGGATCTTTTTGCTGTTGCATTGTGGTTCCTGATGCTGCCATGCTCTCCAAAGGTTTCCACTTTTCCCGTGTTCCCCTTTTCTTTAGCCCCAAGTTCCAGCTGGCAGATCAGCTGTGCATCTGTTCCTTCTGCACATGAACTTCTCAGCCAGAGCAGTTTGCTAATATGTACTGGGTCAGAAGCAGCAGATGGGGGTTTCTTCTTAGGTCTGTGGAATGCAGTTAATGTGCTGCGTGGGGATTAAAGTCTGAGGCTACTGGCAACATCCCTTTTGCATCACCATCAACACCTCCCTGTGGTCAAAATACAAAGGCTTAGTTATTGCGAGTGAGACTGGGTGGAAGGGTTTGGATGAACAATTTTTTCCCTTGGACATTGTAAGCCAAAGTCGGCAAAGTCTCCCACATCTCTAAGAATCAGGAAAGCATCCAGCACGGCCTGTAGTGAGAGCCAGCCATGCAACAGTACTGGAAGGAAAATAAAGTAGCTCTTGGAAGAACTGCTTTAGGAGGGGGATAGTGTGTCTGGACGGACATGTACTGGGGTTGTAGGGGAATCATCAGGGCTTGCAGTTCAAACATTCTGACCCAGAAGCCCTGACTGATACAAGGGAAATGCAGATTTTGGATTAGATCCCAGCCCTTGACTCCATCCTATTTGCATTATTTTCATGTGAAAAAGGCAAGAGATCATTATCCTTATATAAACCTCTCATCTTGGTGTACTGCTGTCCTAGACACTTTTCTCTTTTGTTTCTTCTTTTTTCCTCTCTGAACTTGAAGGTGTTTATTTCCATAGTTAGCTAGTTTTTTTACTAAAAATTTAAACAGTTTGCCTTAAAGAGTTTGCTACATTTTTTTGCTTCACAAGCCACTTTAAAATTCTAGCTCAGAATATCTCAGGTCAGCTATATAAAAGCAAATCCTTCACAATTGGATCCTGATTTCAAAGGGACTTCTGAATTCACCAGCTCCCTATGGGACACCATGTGCCTTTCCAGCGATGAGACCTTTCATGAAAAGCAGGTCATTTATTTTGGTGACTGTATGAAAGTTGAAATCTTCTGAAATTCTGACCCCATAAATATCTATCTCCATAGAGCTCAAGCTCTGGCAGGCACCCGAGTCAGAAAACTTCAAATGTCACAGGAAAATCTATCTTTGAAGTATTTCTGGCTCAACCACAGGTAAAAATGAACAAGAAATCTCCTGAGAGAGTTTGTTCTGCTTTTTGCAGCTCAGTATTTGCAAGGCTGAAAGTTCAGGGTGTTCTGATAAGCTGTGAATAAGCAAGGAGACATTTGGCTCTGTATCCAACCCCAGCTCCAGGCTCCTGTGCATTAACCAAACCAATCTGGAATTGCTAATTAAGGGAAGAACACTCTTCTTTAAAAGGGCCTTTCCTGCCCCCTTTTAGAGACAACTTTTGAGAACCTCTTTTTGTACAACAATTTGCTCTGTCCTTTGTCCAGGGGATCTGCTCTCAAAGCTTGTATTCACACTATTTTATGGCTTAAATATGAGGGGAAAAATTTTTTCCTAAACCCAAGAAAAGCTGATTCTTCTTAGTTTGAGGCGGAGAGGAACGCGGATATTTATGGTAGAGCTCAGTTGCTACTGATTGGTATTGTACATGATGTCTCCGATTCAATCCATCTTATTTGTTAAGCACATTTTGGTGTCTGCTGAGTATCTCTCGACTGTAGATTTCCTCTTGGATCTGAGGCTTGTGAGATGATCCTTTGTGAAAATTAATTAAACTTGGCTTAGAAAGCTTTAGATTGCAGAGCTGTGCACTAATACGAACGATGAATACCCCAGGGCATCAAGAAGTGAGGGTGTGGGGAAGCTGGAGCAGGCATGGAGGGCATAAGAGGAGCAGAGTGCAGATCTGTGGGTCTGGAAAGGAGGAGGAGAGCTTTCTGCCAGGCTAAGGGCAGTGCAGGGAGACCAGGTTTGGGTGCATACCTGCCTCCAGCACAGCCTGGTGTCCCAAGTACTGCCCCTGCAAGAGGGCTTTGTCCCTTTTCTGGGCGGCTGTGGGTACGTGGCATGATAAGGACAGTCAGATACCAGCTCCTGAAGGAAAAGGCTGGGGAAGTACTATTGATGGAAACAAGAACATAATCTTCCTCAGAACCCTGGATTAGCTTCAGCACCCATCCGCTAGTAACTAGAAAAAGCGATCTCCTAACAAAGCTCAGAGGCTTCAACACGTGCTCATTTCCCTGGGGGTTTCCATTCCCAGGACAGTGCATGGATTGTGTTATTGCAAATCGATCTTGTTAATGCTCAGGGTTCAATGACACTTATAGGTTGACTTCGTGCAATAACGGTTGGCAATCAAAGAGTTCTCTGCCTCAATTTCTGCCTAACGTGCTGTGGCAATCTTGTAAGAGTGTGTCTGCACAGAATGAGCAGAGGGCTCGTTAGAGAAAGCACAGCTTTCCCTCAAATTATCATGAGCCTTCAGGGATGCGGGGGTCATCATCCATATGTGTTACTGCCCCTTACCTTGCTCCCATGTGCCAAAAGGTGTCTACAGACAAGCTCGTGTTCATTCCCAAGCAACCTTTTGCCTCAAAGCATTTTTTGCTAAGGAAACATAATCAAGTTATCCCAGGTGGAGTCAGGGTTGCTTCCAGGCAGCTGCTAACATTTAAACACACGAGAAGGTCTCAGCCATAACAAGCAAAGTCAGGAGGGAAAAAAATGGGAAATAAATCAGGTAAATAATCAAACTCTTCCAGAAACAGGAAGGGACAAATAAGAGAGCTAAAATAGATGTCCCCTAAAGACCAATTTAGTGAAATTCAGCTTTTGCTAACAGGACATTTTGCATTAAATACTCTTTATATTGCATATTTTTCCTCCCTCGGAAAGCAAGCATGGAAAAATATCAAGCAAATTATGGCCAAATTATGCAAAAAATACAAATAAACAGATGCCCACAGTGTTTCATGAAATGTGTGAAATGAAAATGACACATCTTAGAAAACGTTTACATTTTATTCTGAAAATAAACATCTCACCATCAGATGCAAATTAACAGCTATTTTAGCCCTAAATATCCTAGCGGGATAATGTCCTAGTGGGACAAAACACTTATTTGGAGTCTTCTGTTATGCAAAATGCTAAGTTGATTTCAGGGGTATTAAAAAAAAAAAAAAAAGGAACAAACCACTGTATATATTTCAGCAGTTTGATTTTATCCATGTTTAACACTAGTTGTTAAGAGTAAGTTTGGTAACTTGTGACAACATTATTTTTACATATTCATTTGATAAATCTGCTTTGCTGAGCTTTCTCCAGTAGTAGTCGTAATAAAAATGAATTTATTAAATTTACTGAAACATAACATTCCTTTTCAGTATAATGCATCCTGTCAGAAACAGAATATTTTTTTATTTGCTAAGGATAATCATATGAAGAGTCATAAATTTTCTATTTACGTATTTGCTGAAAAGTACACAGTATCATTATTTGGAGAAATATCATATAAATTTCTATCTTCAAGTGCTTTTAATCACCTCTCAGAGGACTAAGTGTATTTGCGAGTGTAGAGCAGTAAGTGTACCAGAATAAAAGATGGTGTCATAGTCATGTTTTAGACTTTTTCACATCCTTGTGTATCAAAAACTCAAGGCAGAGTTGAAGCTTCTCAGATCCCCAGAGCTGCAGTTGCGTTATCATCATTTCACACCTCAGCAAACTGAGACAAGAAAATTGTTAAGGGCTTTGCCCGTAACTGCAAAACAGCCACACTGATGCTGAGAATAAATTTGGTCTTTCAGGCACACAGCTCCCCTTTCTTTTTTACAATTTAATAATAATATTTTAAGGAGGATATCATCTTACAGACTCCTAGTCTCATAGTCTTAGATAAAAAAAATAGAAAAAAAGATTGTATTAGTAATTATGCAATTATGTAGCAATTCAAGCTCGGCTGTGTGAGTCAGGTTAAATAGGATGTGTGACAATATCCCTGCTTTTAGTTGTGTGAAGAGGATGTTTTATTATCAGCTGAGATAAAATCTGGCCTCAGCTTCTCATTGACCTGAATTCACCTGATATGACAGTAAATCCTAATCCCCTTGGGCAGAGCTCAGTGGCTTTTCTCCACTTCTTTATTTTCTTTTTTTTTCTGGATAAGTGCAGACGAGCCCAGCTGTGGCTCCCTTGCTCTGCCGTGGCTCGTGGCTGCCTGTTTTGCACCTCCACAGACATGGATCCCCAACACATCGACCAACTAGACTCTGGTGAGACCTGCCCATGTCCGTGTCCCCACCACCAGGCACAAATTCCTGGCTGCAAATTTGCTCTTGGGCATAAACGCTCCCGCAACCCAAGAAGCATCATCAGCCTGAGTCACAGGGACACGTTAGGGGAGGAGAGGTGTTTTTGTGATTTGGGAAGACCCCCTGCCTTGTGCAGCTCCAATATGGGGATGGCTGTGTCCCCATTTATAAACACTGCGGGGATTTCATCTGACAAGAGCCAGCACGAACAGGTTTTTGTTTAAC